CACACACACACACACACACACACACACACACACTCTTTTAATCTATCCTCACCCCTCTTGCAGCCCTGGACCACCGCCGTCAGTTATAACCTTAACAGTGGCCTCCACTTGGGAAACTTGTCAAGTTGATAAATATTGATATCTACCCTACCATTTTACCACCACTTTCCTACTAATGCATTTGGTTGGCATCAATCAGCTGCTTTGCCTTCCGTGTGCGCCCGGTGTGGGAACTGGTCCTGATCTGTCACTTAAAAGTAATCTGCTCCACTTTCTTCAAGAGCTCAAAAAGAGAAGAAAACATGGAGGAGAAAGTAGAGGACAGAGAACCAGGCATGAGGGAAGGGAGATGGGGAAGCCTAGCAAGACCAGGAGACGCAGAGGAGGTTGCAGCTGGTGTGTACATAGTACAGCTGCCTCCCCAGAGTGTCCTTAGTGCTGGGGACATCAGCAGTACTTAATGACAACCAGGATGTTAACCCTGCTTATCTCCTCCAATAAGGCTCCCCAGGGATGAAGATCTACATTGACCCCTTCACTTACGAGGACCCCAATGAAGCTGTCCGGGAGTTTGCCAAGGAGATCGATGTATCTTTTGTGAAAATTGAAGAGGTCATCGGAGCAGGTATGGCTCTCCCCTCACCCCTCGTTTCTGTCCGCTTGGTGTCCAGACGTCTTCTTCCCACCACTCTAGGTGTTCTCCCTCACTGTCAAATGTCATCCCATTGGGAAGAGAGCTTCTACCTTCTTTATCTTTAGAAGATGAGTCTGAACCATCTACAGGGTGTGTCTAGGACAGAGAAAGAACATCCCTTAAGATCTTTTGAGAACCTTATTTTGGTGGCCAAGCTTGTCTGATATTGCAGAGAAGTCAGATGTAGTTATAGAAGATTCAGAAATAGCTCTGGAAATGGACCACCAAAAGTAGATAAGGAGACAGTCATAGCGTAGTTGGTCAAGAAAACTTTGAGAGAAATATACATTTCTAGAAGTTGGATCTAGTATCCCACTCACTGACAATGATATTCAATGGCTTTGGGCCAAAATTTCTTGCCATACTTTGAGTTCTCCTTTTCCTACATACATGCATTTGGAGACAGATCATGATGAATAGAAGAGAGACCACCATTTCCAGAAGAAAGCCAACTCATAGCCACATTTTCTATAAAAGATCTATGGTGTAGATGGTAACACAAGATAAATTTCACTCCCAAGAAAAGTGTGCCCTCTGCCATCTTACCCAGCCCAGCGTAGAACTACCTGCCTGAGATGCTCTCAGGAAATCGTACCTATAGACTGATCTAGAATTTTCATCTTTCATTAATGGGTCAGTAGTCAGTCAATTTGGCAATGACCCAGCCTTATTCATGTAAATAGGATAAAATATCCTAAAGCATCAGTGCATCGTAAGTAAGCTCTTTACTGCCTCTTGTGAATCTTCTTAAAAGATGTATGTGATTTGTGTCCCCTTCCCTACTTTTATTTTCTTCTACAACAGTCTTTGTCTTTTCTTCTTCAGTTCTTATAGCCACTGTCCAGGCTGTCTTCACTCACGTGCTGTAGTCTTCTTTTGAGCTCCTAGGTCCGGAAGTGCTCTATTCCTATCAGTGTTTGGAGAGCCATGCGGTTGCTTCTCCCCATAATATTTTAACTCAATAAAATATGTTTAGTCAAAGTCTTACAGACAGCTACTTCATATATTATCTTTAGGGGGAATGTCACCATCCTGCCATTCGCTGCCTCTCTTAATGCACTGAGGGGTCAAAAAGCCACCTGTGAAATTGGAAGTCACGTCTGAAAGCCTGCTCCATTAGACCGCCGTTTTCATGCTCTGGCTTCCCTCTTGAATAGCTGCATCCTCTCGCCTCCTTCAGCATCACTGTGGTGGGTGCTGGGACCCTCCCTGCCAGGACACACCACCCCTGTCACCAACCCCTCAGGAGTCCCGGCTGACCAGAATCTGATCCACATGAGTCTATACTTATTTCCCATTGACTTTCATTAAATCTGTTACTGAACCACGACTTTCACTTCTGTGCAGATAATTTTCTCTTCCTCCTTAGACGCTGACATATTTAAGGATCATGTTCTTGGAAGGCTGGGTACCAGATAAATTGGATTACTCTTAGGGGCTTGGATTTCTCCAGTAAACTTGAAGGAATGTTGGGGAGGCGGTCTTTCAGTCCTACACTCTATTTGCCCACGTTATTAATTGTTGTTATGGCTTGTGGTAATGGTGCTAGTGATTTTAATGTTGTTATTTATGTCATGTGCTTAGAGCAATGTGTTCTGGCCTGCATTTCATCCCTGAGAGCACACATCAGCCCCCTCCTGCCTTTGTCTGGGGACAAGTAAAGAGGCTTCTCACTTTATGACCCTGCCAGGGAGTTACAATTTGGTGTGAGCTCGCCAGCTGCTGGATGCCCATAAAGGGACAATTGATGGTCCTGCTCCATCCTTCACCTTCTGTGTGTGTGCAGCAGTTGTTGGTGCTGCTATGTTGGTGTGTTCTGCTCAGAGAAGGTTCTGTCCTATCCATGGCCCACGTGGCATTGGGGAGAGATTGGTGTATCTAGTGGTCTGTAAGACATGCAGCAGCATGGTGTAAAGACCTCTGCCTAGTGACTGCTGGCCTCCCTCTACCAGACACCCATCTCTTCATGAGAACATCCCCGAGCTCATACCTGTGGATTTGCACTCACATGCATAACTCCATGCAATTTTAACACAAGACTTTCCTGGGTACAACCGGTCCTTCTCCAGTTCCTTTTCTCCTCTGTCGTCACCCTCATTCCCCCACACCCTGCCTCACAGAGACCGACTCCACTTCATGCTAAAAGAGCTGGTGTGAAAGTAGATTTAAAAAAAAAATAAAGAAAGAATTTTCTAAGGTAATAAGATTTGTACAGTGCAATCGGCAATGTTTCTCTTAGCCACTTGGAAGATTTGGAGCAGGGGGCAAAAACTGGGTTGCGAAATGAGAACAAACATGAAAAGAAAAACCATAAGTCGTTTATCCTTCCTTCGTGTTTTCGTCTCTCCCTTCCTCCTGCAAAAAGCTTTTACTGAGTACTTGTTACATGCTGGAAATGGGGTTCCAGATGAAGAAACAGGTCTCCTCCTCAGACATCTGACAGTCTTAGTGGGAAACAGACCAGTAACAGTTAATTATCTTATATGATCCACAACACAAACTGTCGAGCCAGCATAGAGGATTGTTCAGCTTGCTGTTCTAGGAGGGGATAAGTGGATCACTCTACAAAGGAG